TGAATAGGCGAGTACGGGGAACCCTCTGCCTAAATTCACTATGTTCAATTACCCACCACAGACTCCGGTCAGTCAAAATGACTAGTTTGAACTGTAGGCAGAGTCAGAAGGAGTGCTGATGGTAGAGCAATCTGTCCACAAAAATGCTGAGACTGACTTATCGCCTATGTGCAGGGACCCTTGTGGTTGACAGGACCCAGCCTAAAAGAGGCCCTCCTCAATAGATTGGGTGTCTCTTAGGTAGTACTAGTAGTTGATAAAGACGTTTGCATTCTCCAGAAGCCTGCCCTCAGAAAATGTTTGAGGGGGGCACCTGACGCTAGCACTAATGGGTTAGCAATTGCACCGACCTCATGTGCTCATACTTGGTGTCTCTGCAAGCTCTGTGTCAAGGAAGTTAAAGTAATCCACCTGGTGATGGAAGTCGGGGAGGCCGGCCTATCCTGCCTGCCTGGGCCGTAACACATGTGCTTGGTACCCCGTCTTAAATCCCTAGTACGGTTTTGGTAGCAACTCCGTGTCGAACCAGGCAGAGAAGCAATTCCTCCCGACCATCCGGGCCGACAAAATTTGACAGCCGGGAGATCTGGTGGGGATCGTGTCCTAGGATTTGGTTCTTGGCGAGAAACCCGATTCGTGTCTTTAGCACAACTTGATTGCCCATAAAGGCGGTACATCGTCTGAGAAAGACAATGGCTCCAGTTCTGACAGACGCTACCTGAGGCGAGGGCCAGTAAAAAGACTACTTTCCACGTCAAAATTTTGAGTGGTGCTGATCAGAGAGGCTCAAAGGGCGGTCTGCTTAGAGAACAACAGAACCGACAAATCCCAGTTGGGCGGTTCCCTTGTATGGGATCTCGGCCTCTGATATGAGAAGCAGTAAATAGTCTCCTAATAATACGACAATCTTGTTCAAACCCACTTCGTCAAACAGGTGGACGAAGGAGTATGCTACCTGGACAATAGAGGGATAGCATGGATCAATCTCCCTTCTGCTACACCAATCAGTGTATGCTCTCCACCTAGAAATGTGGGCAGCGTTGGTGGAATCCCTGTTTGCCCTGGCCAGGACGTTGGCAGCCCGTTCAGATAAACCTTTCGTATGTGCAGCTCTACTGAAAG